AGAGAGAATCGAGGGAAAAAAAATCCAAAATAAAAGATGACAAGATCCAGGAAGAGAAAAGTTCGGCGTCACCGCCGTACACTCACGCCAAAGATAACAATCCGCAACCAAGGCGCATTCGCCATTAATTCCGATATGGCCCCGGGCCAATCAACTCAACATCGATCCTCATACCCGCACCGACGATCTTGGCCGTCGCCTGCTACTCCCACCACTGCGATCGTCACCCCGCTGTCGCAGATTCGACACGGTTCACCCAGATCCCACAATCTGTCGTGGCGATCCAGCGCGCAACCGGCCAGTCTATCGCGAGCCCGACAGGACTTTCCGAATCGCTTCAAACACTCTGCCTAGCCACTGCTTCCCGGAAGCTGGCTTGAGAGTCGAGAACGTAAGAGAGATTTGCGGGCGCGCTTGCGGGTTTTATAGTTGCGAGAAAGGAGATAGAAGAGGGGGAGAACGACGGGAAGGCGGGGGTGTAGGAGGAGAAGGAGGAGAAGACTTTGAGAAGAGTGTTCTTCAAGTGCCATGTTGATTCCTCGGAACTCAAGGTTCAACCATTCAGATACGTCGCACGATAGGAAGGTCCTATCGATCCACGCACCTGATTGGCGAGCGGGAGTTATCAGGGGATTGACCGGGTGTCGTACGCCAGACTCAGAGGGTGAGAAGAGAAAAGGCGCGAGAGGTGGCGCAAGACGGGTCCAAGATTCAGACAATAAAAAAAAGGGAAATGAACGCGCAAACAACAAGACGGGGGAGGGGGAGGAGAGAGAAAGAAACAGTTACAGGGAGAGAGAAAGAGGAGGGAGAAGGAAAGGGAGCGCGGGAGGGAGCGATACAGCGGACAGAGGAGAGAAAGCTTCTGCATACGCGGTGCCGTCAACAAAAAAAAGAAAAAGGCACCGAAACAGTTACAGCTTGCTTCTATCCTAATTCAAAAATTGAAATCACCATATCCGCGCGCGAAAGAGCGACGCGGGAAAAGAAAAGTCCTTCGCTTATTCGTATCCGAACGAAATTCCGACAGTTTTCTCCAACGCGACCAAGAACATTCACACACTCGGAAAGGACACGTGAAAGTTCCGCTTATCCCGGAATTCCCAACCGCTGGGCCCAATTCCCAGTGTGCTCGCTAAGGCGCACGCAAATCCGCATGTATTTTTCGATTTTGCAAAAAGAAAAACAGAACTCAGCAGTCGAAAAAGCTCTCCAAAAAGGGAAAATGCGGCACCCGAAAGCAAGAAATCACGCGCAGGGGGTTCCAAAATTATGCGATTCTTGATTGCATGTCATGGCAAAAAGAAAGAGGGGAGAACAGAGTGATGCATGAGGAACCAAACGTATCATCAGAGCAGGAAGAAAGACAAGGAACGATAACTGGGCCGTGGATGAGATGGTGACAACATCCGCGGCAAGATCCCTGTAGCCCTGTCATATGCAACCCTCTGCCTCGTGGAGATCGTCTAGGTGACGCCATGATGGTCCACTTGATCTCCGTGTGCTCTGCACCCCTGCTTGTTGTCGTCCGTCGAATCAGTGCGTAGGTTGACGTCATCATCGATGGCGTGATCTTCACGAAGCTTACTGATTCGTGCCGATGAAGGGAGGAGAGAAAAAAAAAGGGGGGGGGGGGCAAGTGAATGGGATCTACCACCGCCTAGTCGGAATAGGCCAGTAGAGGCGGTACATGCCGCCGATGATGTCGGGGATCTCGCGGGGATGACGGGGTGGGAGTGGGGGTAGGAAGCGATTCATCCCTTCCATCGTCACCGGGAGCTCCTCGTATCGAATGATCCGGTGGAAGCGGGGGAAATGATCGCCACTGCGGGGGAGAGAAGCGAGGTAGTCGTGATAGAAGGAAGGGAGGGTACGAAAAAGCACCGCTCGAAAGATCTCGAAGTGGCGGTAAGCGGGAATTGTCCCCTTGGCAACGCAGTAGACCTCTTCTACGTTGGACTGCTCCCATGCAACGCTAAACAGCAGGAGATGCGAGCAAAATGCGGGAGCAGCGGACTGAAGGGAGGCGTGGGGGTGGACGGTGGCGAGTAGACGGGTAGAATAGAAGTCGTGGAAGAGATGGGGATGAAAGGGATGGGGAGGGAAGATGACGGGGGTACGGATCTGCTCAAGGGTGAGGAAATCAAGGGATCGGCGGGACAACGTCTGAGGACGAAGGCCTATCGCCCGCATCGGCACGTGGGCGAACTGAGGGATGGGTGGGGCTGGAGGAGGAGGGGGATCGGCGCCGTCTCCGTCGCGCGGTACTTGAGGTGGCGGCTGCAGGGTCGCCATCTTCTTCTTTGTCGTCGTCGTCGTGGATCACCACTTCTTCTGCCTTCGGGTAGAAGGCGTAAGGGATGATCTCGTACGGCTTCAGATACTCCTGCCGCGATGGTAGTGTATCCTCAGCCTTAGGTTCCTCCAAGCACGAAGTCCACTGAAGGTACGGATCCAGGGATCGCTCGAAAATGTACGGAGTAGGACTGTTGTCACTCCGAAAGTAGATGTCGGGCGAGAGATCGTCCGCCAATTGCACGATCGGTGCAATGAGCTCCTATGCAATCAACTGACGGCGACCCGGTTGTACCGATCCAAAGAGGAATCCAATAAGATCTCCTTCCTCGTTACTCCTCCAACCCTGTATGATCAACAGCTTCGGATTCTCGATCCACGTGGGATGCTCGCTAGTGCCCGTCCACGTCACCTGTACTCTGGCCAAGCAAAAGGACAGCTCCTCAGAAGTTTCAAGTCACAATCGCCAATATGCAGGAATGATAAGAGGGACTGAAAGAGGCCCGAACGAGAAGGAAAGAGAAGGGTGAAGATCGGATTGCAAGAAGGTGGGGAAGAGAGAGGGGAGACCAAAGGTAGAGAGGAGCGAGACGAGCAGCGTGGTTCATTGGGGACGGGGGAAGGGGACGATGGTCGGGATCGCAATTGGCCGCTCGCGCGGTGATCGGCGAATACTGTCAAGATCAGATGCAACGATCGGGATGCTGTTATACCCCTCATGGGCGAGGACGTGCTGCCACACGTTGGACACTTGCTCCGCCCACTCGCGCAGCAAGGCCAAGATCGCGGTATGCCGCAGCGGATTGACCGAGATGAGGTCGCCGGTGAATCCCTCCATTGTGGTGACGTGGCTCGTTCTAGGACCCGCTCGCCGATGAACTGCAGTAACCGCTGCAAACACTATCGCGTGAGGGCTTCCTTCTATTCGGAATGTGGCGGCGACAAAGATACCTTCGTCGCAGAAGAATCACATCAAACGGCGGAGATCCGTATTAAGCCGACGGTGACAAACTTGCCGGATCTCGGAGATGTGGCCACTTGGCTGCCTCAACTGTGCGTCGAGAAACCGCTCCGTGATAAAACTCATGGCGAGGTCGCAGAGGAGGACGAAGGACAAGAGGGAGAAAGACGGGAAAAAGTTAGATCGTTGCCGTTTTCCTCGCTTTCTGAAGAAGAAGAGGGAGGACGATCTGGAGGAGGAAGAAGACGGAGGTAGGAGGTATGTCTTACGATGGGACGGAGCTATGGCTGGCGCTAGCCTCAGACGCGATGTGCACCGTATTAACGTCGTTGGGTCCGAGTTCGACAATGCGAAAACAGCCAGAGAACTTGGTAGCGAGTTTCCGGTCGCGTGCACATTTACGTACCTGCACTAAGTCCCCCAATTTATACTGGTAATGGGGCCCAACATTTTCGTTCCGGGCCTCGTAGCTACGGATCTGTCTACCGTGGACCAGCTCTGTCATCCTTTGCTTTTTCAGGCTAGCTTCGGGACGGTCGGTTTCATCAAATCGGCGTACCTTTTGGCCTTGGCCTTGAGGGCCGCATGCGTGTCTCTACCCCCTGCTTCGGCAAATTCCTAGTTGCCCCGATAATCGACACAGGGGAGGCTATTAGTTCGAAGCTGAAAGGGGGTAAACCCCGTAGACTCGTGAGGGGTGGCCCGGTGGATCCCGACGATCTGATACACGATTTCGGGCCAAGGACGCGTGTCGTGTGCCGCTAAGTTCCTGCGAAGGGCGGTTTTAATCATATGGTTGGCATTCTCGGCCAACCCGTTCGTCTAGGACACGTGGGGTGCCGTATGTCGGAGCATGACGCCCCTTCGCGCAAGCAGTTCTTCTACCTCGCCTTTAAATTCAGATCCATTGTCGGTTAGAATTTCTTCCGTATCTAGATGGGTATAGAGGAACCGTTCGATGTACATGGCTACTTCTGCGGCTTTTCGGGTCTTACAGGGATAGACCTCGGTGTACTTGGAAAAGTGGTCAATTAATACTAATAAAATAGAATATTCACAGCGGTTTGGGCCAGGTGGCACGTCAATATCTGTCGTGTCCATACTGACTCGCTGAAAAGGACGCGTTACTTCCGTTGGTACGATTGTGTTTGGTCCCCGTATAGGGGCGCGATCAGCGGCACAGACCGGACAGTTAGCGACAATGTATTTGACATCACCTCGTATATTGGACCAGAACCATCGATTCTGGTCTACAGTTGCCTCCATGACACGTATCGCGAAATGAGCGGCATGTTCCTTGTGAGCAGATCGGATCCAATCGTATCTCTAGAAGGGATGGGGAACGGTCAGTGACGAACCCGATCCGTCAGTTTTACGCTTTTCCAAATGACCGTTGATCCATCGATAGTCCCGAGATCTCTCGGTCGCCCTACGTCTGTCGTGTTTGGTGAGGTGACGCAATGATAATCCCGCTAATTTTGCCAATAAAATTTTATCCGTCCAGACTTCCGCTCGTCGGTATTTTTCATCGTATTCGGGACCGTCCGTACGGGCGGCCTCGAATCGAACCTCCGTGGGGAGCTTGTTCGTTCTACACAGGGGGCACCTCCATTCCTTGCTACTCGTCCGATATCGAACGCAGGCCCTGTGCGCACGATTGACACATGTGGCACATTCTACCCAATCGACAAACCCACTTTCGAAGGGATGACAGTCAATCCCATAAACCCGTGCAATACACGTGCAAAAATATCAGAATTTATCGGGGAGGGTGACAAAGAAAATGGAGGATGTGAGCGGGGCAGAATTAGTAGGAGATGAAGGGGTTGCGGAGGTGAGTGGAGTAGCCATGATATCAGAGGAGGAGAGGATGCAGAGAGGGTAGAACAGAACAATTAGTCCTCGTGCCAGTTACTGCTTCGATAAGATCTCCACTTGGCCGTACCGAGGTCCAATTTCTTGTTCGGGTTCGCTCCATGGAATTACCTCCTCATTCTTCGGGACTTTCTCAGGCCGATGTAGTCGTTTCAGTCCGTCCGCGTTCTCGTGTCTCTCGTGCTTCTGATGGCGGATGTCAAAGTCCATGCTCTGCAACACTGTTGCCCATCGCCCGATCATGCCCGAGTAATCCTTCGACTTCTTCAAAGCCAACAAGGGCTCATGATCAGTCACCAGGGTGAATTTTCGCCCGTAAAGGTAAGCACAAAAGTGACTGATCCCCCAGAGAGCCGCATAGCATTCGCCTGTTGGAGCAGTGTAATTGCGCTTGCAGGCGGGCACTGATTTGGACGCATACTCCACCACACTCTCGAGTCCGCTCGGTCCCACCTGGGCAAGAATCGCCGAAATCGCCTCTGGCTGCCAGTCAATGATGAGAACAAAAGGTTTTTCGGGATCCGGTCTTATAAGGATCGGAGCCGAAATGAGAGCAGCCTTGAGTTTGGAAAACGCTTGATCGCACTCCGGTGTCCAGATCAATGGTTGATCCTTGCGCAGGAGATTTGTGAGGGGTCCCGCAATCGCCGCGAAACCCTTGATAAATCTTCGGTAATACGAGGCTAGGCCCAGAACGGCGCGAACTTGCGTGATGGTGGTAGGTGCGGGCGCGTCCCTGACAGCTGCCACCTTCTGCGGCTCCGGTTGGAGTCCCTTGTCTGTCACCACGTGCCCCAGGAAAGAAATGGTGGTGAGGAAAAACTGGCACTTCTCAAGCGCCACCTTGAAACCTGCATCTCGTAACGCATGCAGTGCCCATTCGATGTGCTGCACATGTCCCTCGTAGGAACTTGAATACACCAAGATGTCATCCATGTATACAATCACGCAATAGTTGATGATGCTCTGCGCCAAACGAGTTTTCCGTACAAAGTTCTGAAAAGCCATGTTCATGGTTCGCTGGAAAGTCGCAGGGGCGTTGCAGATACCCATCAGACATCGAATCCACTGCCATGTACCCTCGAAAAGCACAAATGCCGTTTTCGGACGATCTTCTTCTCGAACAAGAAGATGATGAAACCCATGGCGAACATCAAACTTGCTGAAAAATCGAGCACTCCCAATCGCATCTAACAACTCATCAATCCGGGGGAGGGGATACACATCTTTGATCGTGATATCATTCAACTTTTGATAATCAATGCAAATGCGAATCCCTCCAGCCTTCTTAGGTACGATCACTACAGGGAAAGACCATGGACCTATAGCAGGTTCGATCCATCCATTAGCTTCGAACTCCTTAATCCGCTGAAAAACGGCCGCTCTTTGAGCTGGAGAGTATCGATAGGGAGTGCAGCTAATAGGCGGATGATCTCCTGTGAGGATGGCATGCTCAGTTACATTAGTTAAGCCGATATCATTGTCATGCACGCTCAGCACTTCTGAGTAACCATTTAACACACAGATTAATGACTCCCGGAGTTCCACGGGAACGTGACTCGGGAGGGTGATCGTCGATTCCCCGGACATCTTAAGGGGGATATAGATCCAATCAACTGGCCGCTTCTGCCGCTCATTGACACTAGAGAAAACGGAACTACTGGTGCGAACAGAGAAGACAGTTGCTATCATATGGGACTCAGCGGGGCTGATCATCTCCGTTTCTTTAGTTTTAGCGTCGGTTTCTGAACTGACCGAGGTCGGTTCCAGAGTTAGCCCGGTTAGATCCGTCATTTCTTGCATTAGATTAGGTACATCACTTATTTCTGCCTCTTGTTTAATCAAGGCGATGGTGGCTCCAGTTGTTAATAGCGATCTGGGCGAAAAAACAGAGACATCCAAATACTGTTCTGTTTGCTGATAGCGCGTTTGTAAGGAAAGAGCTCCCTCGTACAAGGTGCGAGGGGGTTCCAAATCATCAGCCATATCAGAGACTTGTAATATAGGTTCCCCGAGGAGGGCTGAAGGACTGACATGGGCTGCTAGAGGTGGGAATGCACTGTCTTCAGAATCCACGTGGAAGCTCCGAGCGGTGTCGGGGCACACTCGAAAATTCTTCAGGGGTTTCATATTCGAAAAGTTCAACCAGATGTTTTCATTCCTCTTCACTGGGCATCTCTTCTTCGTATTCTCGCTCCCTGATTCCATCCCCGAGGTTCGAGGGGGAGCACTCCTCGGGATCAATGTATCGAATCATCCCGATGGGAGCCGAGTTAGGGACCCGTTTTATCGTTCGGGTGGAAACCCGCAAAGGAACAGTCTGAGGTTTTCCCCCAGCTTGTGTAAGCACCAATTGTTTCGAATCGAAATGCAGACGTGCGCCCACCGCCATCGCCCAGGGTAATCCCAACAACACAGAATAGGAACGTACATCTATTACGAGCGCGTTAACAAGGACGTGTACTCGTCCCACTTTTACGGCTACGTTCTCGATAATACCTACGATGTTCATTGCTCCCTCGTCGGCAGAGACATAGTTGTCTTTGCCAGATTGAGGAAGAATGGATCCAAGTTGTCCCGTTTTTTTGACAGTATCCAATGATATGGCCACAACAGAAGACCCTGTTTCAATAAGGGCATTAAACGGTTTGCCCCACACTTCACAGTCACATTCCGCACTTTTTCATAGGACCGGCCGAGCTCGTACGAAGTGGTCATTTTCTACTAATGAGATTGTTGCTATACGTGCGGCTTCGGGTTCAGGTTCTTTTGAGTCTGGCTCAAGAGGGGCAACTTCCTCACCTTCCTCCTTCTTCATCATCATCCATTGTATGCGCTGACAGGTGAAGCGCTTTTGATTTTTCTGGCAGTGTTGTAAAAGTTTATCGTTCGCTGCTTCAGATATGGTAAGCAGATGTCCTACTGGGATAGGAACGCGGATATCTTATTGCTTGAGCGTTTTCAGTACATCAATATCCCCTGTCCAAAACTGTGGTCCAATATTGGACTCGCGATTGACCCATTAGAGATCATCTTGGGCCGATTGGATCGCTCCAATCATTCCGGCAAGATGGAGATACTCAAGGGGATCGACCACGTCAGCTGCGTCAGAGGAAGAAGCTCCTGATGTCGACGCCATTGTTGTCGAAGGGGAAGGCTGCTCTGGGGCATATGCCATGAGTTCTCTTCCCGGGTCCGTGTCCATCAGAGCGGCCACTCGTCCTTGATTAAGGGCGACGGGGGCCGCAGCAGGGCGAGGCTGATTACGTTTCGGCCGCGGACAGTCCCGGGCGAAATGTCCAGGCTGTTTGCAGTTGAAACACTCGATCTTTCCTGCCGGATTAGCTAGATGGGGAAACTGAGGGGCGAATCCTGGAGCAGGTGGAGCAGGTAAGAGTGAAAACGATGCAGGGGCAGGCCGAGCAGGAGCTGGGTTAGGCTTAATGAGCCTGCTCATTATCTGTTCCATCCGTTCCATGTGAGCGACCTGCATTTGGATTAAGTTGCTCACCCATTCAGACTGCTTGGTAGTGGCCGTATGGATCATCTGGGCAAGATGCAAATTGGTTATGGCTGGCGAGGGGGGCTCGGATAGAGTTCCGCTTCTAACGGCTGCGATTGATTGATTCACCGGGGGAGAGGGAGGAGAAGCAGCCGGGATATCGGAGACGATTCCGCCGGGAAGGTCATGGTCGGGGAGGGGATAGAACCGTTCGACCGCCTGTAGCCATGATCGCCTTTTGGCCGTTACATCTCGTTTGGTATCTGTAATATCCTCGTCCCCCTGACTAATATATTTTTTTGTATCAGCCAAGTCTAGCTCCAACACTTTACTGATGATAGCCGATAACTGGGTTGTTTTCGGCGGAACCTTTTTCTGCAGTTTCCCTTTCAAGGTCGGACTTCGAAGGTGATCGATAAACAAGTCTCAAGCGGAATTCTTGTCTCGCCCGGATTTATCCAACGTGGTTTGAAATCGATCGACGAAATCAGGCAATAATTCCCCTGGTCCTTATGGTTGATTTTTGAGTACATACCAGGCGGCATCTTCACTAACCGTATCGAATTGAGCCAAGAATGCTCGCTTGAAAGTATCCCAATCTACCCATGTATGCTTTCTGAACCAGTCATGCGATGTATTGTGGAGTAGCAATGTCAGAACACGGGGAAGATCGGCTGCGCTGTAGTTTTGAGCTTCGACAGCTTCCAGCCAAGCCTCGGGATGGGTATGGTTAGGGAAGAAGGGAAAGGGGGGCAGGGATGCTAACGATCACCCTAGTACCGTCCACCATTGGTATTGCTGGTGCAGCCACACTAGACTGAGACCGGGTTACTGGGCGATCTCGACGAGCTAGTTGAGGGTCTCTCCTACCTCTCGCCAGTTCGACTTACTATCATCAGAACCGACACGTGTCGGCTCCAATACCAACCTCACGCCCGATGCTGTCTTCCGTTCGGAGTGTTAGCTGTGCGAAAAAGAGGCCCAAAAAAACAGCAAGATGGGGTGTGCCAAGGATTTTTGGAAATTGAGTGTGGGGACACAAACGGAACTGAAATCCCCCATGTTCGTCCGATGGAGCAAGTCGCGACGCCCAGGCAAGGCAGGAAAGAGAGAGAAGGACCCAAATTCAATCCAAAAAGTATTGTCGTGCCTCCCACCGGGCTACAGCCCGTCGTTTAGAACAGAAAGGCTTGGGCACGCTTCGCGTGTCTCGTTTTCGTATCAAATCCCGTCGTCGTTCGCTGGTTAGTTGCGAGTCTGACGTGGAGGGTCTCAGTCGCGTGGCTCTTTCTTTATGCTCGTCTTCACTCCGCACACGGTAGTGGAAACCCCTGGACTCATAGCGCTCAAAACGCTGACATTCGGTGCACAGAGTGCGCGGCCAGTGGGGTTCTACTACCGTCCACGGAATGACGATTAACTCGTTAAATGGCAATGATACCGAGTAAGGTGGGAAGTGCGTATCGATAACAACAAACCCGGCTTCTACGAACCCAGAACAGCGGTTGGCCGGAGGGAAGTAATACTGCCCGCCGATTTGTGCGACGGCTTCTTGTACGTGCCACTCACATAAATGTGTCCTTTCCTCACTGTAGGGAAAAGGTCGCGTTGGGATGGGAGATACGGGAGGATGGCGCCCAATCGAAGGGTGCTTGTCAGTCCACATATCAATCAGTCACATATATCCAGAGGCATCATTAAGAGCAAAAAAAAATCATTCATTCGACCCTCAATCTACCCTTCTTGACACACGAGGGACCAGACACACATCAGCTTGATCATGCATAGGGCTAAGGGACCGACCCGCGACTCGATTCAACATGGCTGCTGAGGTCGTGCCGCATAAGGCAGATGGCATGCGCAGGGCGTTCGGGACTATAGATCTAAACACTCTGGTATGCTCGAACAAAATCCCGACGACACTCGTCTAATCAATCCGAAAAGTCACGCATCTCTATACATGCATTCACTGTGGAAGGTGCGTAAAGGAAACATTCATAGGAAAAGATGGATCACATTGCACAGTACACATGCATCCACCGTTCACAAGACAAGTAGACGGGGTCCTTGTGTAGGAGGATTACCTAGGAAACTAATGGAAGAGTTCCGGAAAAAAAAGTTCTTTCACACAGGAGGCCGACTCATTCCCATTCAAGAGAGGGACAATCATTCAGAGGCATCGTCTTTCGAGAAGAAAGAGAGAGAGAGAGAGAGAGAGAGAGAGAGAGAGAGAGAGAGAGAGAGAGAGAGAGAGAGAGAGAGAGAGAGAGA